CTGTGCTTTAACCCGCTGCGCCACCAGGGAGGGCCCTGACTTCATTTTTTAAAGATATCTTTAACTTAAGGGTTATGATTATACCTGTCTTATAAGATGGTGACTGAATGAAAATGTCAGGGCTGTTGGTAGCTACAAAAGGAGGCTGTACATGTTAGGGGACAACAATACTAAAACTCATCTTGTAGAGACATCTTATAAAATGTAGGAGTACATATTTGCCATTGTAATTTTAGAATCCTAGAATCTTAAATGTAAAAGAGGTATTAAATGTCAACTACCTTTGTCTTTCCATCCATGCAGTTTGGCTACCCAAAGAATACTTTGTTCCTTCACAGGGCAGGTCATTCTATTTGAAATAGTTAAATGTTTACCAGCTCCCTGAACTTTGATGAGGTTTTTCCTATTAGCTTCTATCCTGTGATCCTTGTTCTGCCAAATTAATCTAGTTTTTCACAAGAGAACAAGGAAGAAAACACTTTTCTCTTTGGACAGTAAGATTCCCCCACCCCCGTCACCCCCCTTTCTTAATTTGGTGTGGTTAGGTTAGGGCTTTTTTCATTTTACCTGCATTCTTCAATCTTTGTCCTTTGTTAGTCTTTCTTACCGTAAAGACAGCTGTTGCAGCCAGAACATACATACATCACTTCTATGACGTATATAAAACCTTTGCTGTTCCAAACTGCACTGTTCTGTTACTTCTATCTGAACGTAAGAAATCCTTCTGAGAGTGTTTGAGATTCTATATAATACATGTAAATCATTGCATTGGCTTTCATGTTTGACACTTAGGAAACAGTTGAATTTATGGAATTATTATTTCATGGATGTGGAGTTTTTTCCTTTCCTGAGTGACTTAACTCTTAAACAGGTCTGTCCCATCTTGATTCCCTGTTCAGAAGAATTTTAAACAATCTAAGGGCTAAACGCATCCGTTTATCATTAGGACATTGTCAGCCTTATTGGATTCTTAGGCTTTTGATTCTGACTCATGATACTGACCATCATCTTTTTCTTCTCTAATCCTTATTTCTACCCTTCCCCAATCTCGTTTTCCCTCACCACCTGTGGTCATTGTGAAAGTGTTGATGAGGTAGGGTAAGATCCAAAACATTACTAGTTATCTTCTAAGTTGCCATCATAGTCTTAATAACATTTCTTGATATTTCAGTAGGTGATAAATCATTAAAAATGGAAAAAATAGTTTTCTCTAGTTTGGTGTTTTAATACAAACTATAGATATATTGTTACAGATGATCTGGTAGTTTTGGTATATTTTTCAGTTTTGAAGTATTTTATTACTTGTCTTGGTTTTATTTTACCTGTTTTAAAAATGTTTTCAGGAAATCCACTTACCCAGGATATATTGAACCTCTATCAGGAACCTGATGGAACCAGAAGGCTGCTGAACTATTTGCTTGATAATTTGGCAGGTACTGCAAAAAGAAGTAAGTGGCCATTTGTTTAAACCATTTTATTAGGAAGATTTATGAGAATATTGCTTAATTTTTTTGTCTTACATTGAATTAGTTTCATCAGAACAGCCACCTCCAAGATCTTGGATTATGTTACAAGAACCAGACAGAACAAGGCCAACTGGTTGGTAACCTTTCTTTTTTTTTTTTTTTTTAAACTCCTGTCTTCATTTGTTATAAACCTGGTATATTGTTGCCATGCTCTAGGTCATGTGCAGCATTGTGATAGAATGCTTAAGATTGATTTGGTTTGAAAGATAATAATAAAAACTTTAATTCTTGCTTACTTGATTTCTGTGTATACTGTGCTATACAAAGGATACTGCACCTTCTCACTCATAAGTGAATTAGCACCAGAGGGCAATTGATGTATCTGGAGAAATTTTTGACTGGTCACTGGAATCTAGTGGCTGGGGACCAGGGGAGTTGCTAAGCACCCTAAACTGCACAAAGAGTTTATCTACCCCCAGTATCATCAGTACTATTGTTGAAAAGCACTGCTGTGAAGCATACTCAGCAAAATAAATAACACCAAAATCTTCCTGCAGTGGAAGTTTCCAAACCCAACCATGTTCCAAATATATTTGATTATTACCAAATTGTTTTTTGGTTTTTTTTTTTTAAAGATTTATTTATTTGTACACACAGAACTGGGGTACAGGCCAGAGGCTCAGGGGTGGCGAGAGGTTTCACCAGAGACAGAGTGGGGTACAGAACAGGCAGATCGACGAAGTACACTGCTGAGGGGAGCAGCTGGGCAGGTCAGGAGAGGTCTGCCACAGCATGTGGATCTCCTCCGGGGCAGGTGGGAATCGAACTCATGCAGAAGTGGCTTTAGCTTCTCACTGCTGTGCTTTAACCCGCTGCACCATAAGGGAGGGCCTATTACCAAATTGTAAGGCAGCCAAAGTCTTTACTTGACAGAGAAATTGAACAAATGACCCCTAAACTTCTTTATCTTACACGAAAATAGCTTGGGAGTTTCATGACATTTGTAACAGAATTTAGTTTTCCTGTATGTATTAATAGTTGCTCTGTGGGAAAGTAATTTATACATCTTCCATTAGCATTTGGCTAATTGGTAAAAAGAATGTGTAAATGAGAAAGAAGCCTTGGTAGTAGAGGCCATTGGGCTCAAGATGTTAGTCTTTTTGCTTCCAAACTTTGTGTAAATACCTTTGTTGTAGCAGGTAACACATGATAATCTTATTTGTCCACAACTTTAGGTCCTTGTGTTTGTCGTATTAGTAGCTTTTCAATGAGTGATTAAAATCATACTTAAGTGTTTAAGTGAAAACTATTGAATTTTTGTTTTCCTGCCACATGTGTGAATAAGATAAAGTTATCTTTCCTGCAGCCTTGTTTTCTGTCATGTGCTACAATGTTCTTTGTGATAAATATGCGACTCGGCAGTTATATGGCTACTGTCCATCATGGGCACTAAATTGGGACTATAGGAAAAAGGCCATTATTCAAGAAATCTTGAGCTGCAATGCTGATATCATAAGTCTTCAGGTAAGTCATGAGAATACTTTCTAAATTGCACAGATGCCTCCATGTTGATAAAACAAGGAGCAATCTGTGAATGCATTACACTGACACATTCAAATTTCCTCAGTTTTTAAAATACTGGCTTTATGTTGTTAGTGATTCCTGGGAGCATTCACGCTAATTGCTTTGTTTGGAAGTACTGTGACTCAAGTAGGTTAAGCTGGGTTTTAAGTATGTGCTTTGACAGCTGAACATCCACCATACCTCTCCCCCCATCCTTCCTCCCCCTCACCCCAACATCCCTGCAGTTATTTTGGAGTTAGGTGGGTAGTAATGTTACTGAAACTGAGGCATTGTTATGTTGTAATTTTGTTTTACCATCAGTGGTAACAGAATATTTAGGATATAGTAAAAGAGCATTGAACCTTACAGGTTTTCAGTTCACTTCTCATTTATCACTTACATGACTTTGGGTAAGTTACTTTCTGCTCATGACCTAAAATTATGATCTTTGAAATTTCTCATATATCTCTGTATTTTGTTTTATGGCAGTTTTAAAACAATAGGGGGAAAAAACATATCTATAGTTACACATCTCTCCATTCTTTACTCCTAAACAACAAATCAACCATGTCAGTGCCTATAAATTAACACATGGGTGTTCCAGTTGGTTTTACATAAATTGCATTGAAAAGATATTACATATTTTATTTTGCAAATCAGTCTGAAATTATTTCAAATTCTCAAACTATACATGGAAAGTTAGTGCATAGAATTTACCTCTGTCTTACAGAATAACTTTGCCATTTATAATTTTTCAGGAGGTTGAGACAGAACAGTATTACAGTTTTTTTCTGGTAGAACTGAAAGAACGTGGCTACAATGGATTCTTTAGTCCAAAATCTAGAGCTAGGACAATGTCAGAACAAGAAAGAAAACATGTTGATGGCTGTGCAATATTCTTCAAAACAGAAAAGTAAGTCTTCTTACTTTTTAAACAGAACATTTTCTCAGTTTTTGCAGAATAGAGGCCAAAGACATGGAAATCAGTTGGCATGTAAGACAATGGGTTACTCAAGAAAATAATAATACTGACTTAACAGGGTTTTATTTTGTTTTGTGTTGTATCATTAATCAGCTTGTTTGGGAAACATGTTGAAAGTGCTGCTGTTTCTTCAGGTGTTTACTAGGGTTTGACTCCAATTGTTATATGAAACACCCTGTAATTGACATTCTCTCTATAATATTAGAAGGATTTTTAAACACATACTTTAGAAAAGAATTATTTATATATTTAAAGGTTGAATATTCTAATACAAAACCTAAACAGAATATAGACTATATTATTTGAAGTTGTAAAATTATTTCAAGATGTTATTTGTATCAGTAACAGTCTGAGAATACGTTTAGATATGGTAAGCTTGGTGTTGAGTGTGGAGGATTTTCCATAATGTAATTTTCACATGTTTTCAGTTAAGTTTGGGGAAACTACTCTTCCCACAAAACTAATATCTTGGTATTCCCAATTCAATGTTTGTGTGTGTGTGTTTGTTTCTGTTTTAGATTTACTTTGGTTCAGAAACACACTGTTGAATTTAATCAGCTAGCCATGGCAAATTCAGAAGGGTCTGAAGCTATGCTGAACAGAGTCATGACAAAAGATAACATTGGAGTTGCAGTACTGCTAGAACTTCGAAAGGAATTGATTGAAATGTCATGTGAGTGACCTTTTCACTTCCTGTAAAATTGACTTCCAAAATTTAATAGAAAACAGAATTTGTTGTTGGCAGTAGTGTTGTCTAACACCTGAAGAAACTCAGTGAGAATTCAAAGCTTATAAAATAACATTCCTCTTTCTTTACCAGAAAGCTTAAGGTAAGAAAACATTATGCAGAATAAAGTATTCAAATAAAGTATTCAAAGAGTAAAGCCAAAGGAAAAGTTGGGCTTTTGCTCCCAAGAATTTTTGATACAGGAAAAATGTTTAATACTAGTTAAAGTAATTGTAGAGAGCAGAACTTGATGTCCTTCTATAACTTCTTGATGGCAAAGATAGTTTTAAGCTAACTTCTCTTCCTAATCTATTTGTAGTCCTTGTTTTAAAGGTCTTGAGTTTTGGGAGGTGAACACTTTACTTCAAATTAAAAATACATTTAGTGTGACCATTATGTGAAGAAGCATCTATCACATGAAGAACAGTTGGAGCTAGAGAAATTTAACCTGAAGGATATAAAAGATGATAGATGGAACTTATCAGTTGTCTTAAATATCTTTCCTTGAAAGGGTGCAGATTTAATTCTCTGGGGTTTGATTTAGAATATCTTAACTAAGATCAGAAGTTTCAAGATGAGAACTGTTTAAAGATTAAGCAATCCCAAGTAGAATGGGCCATTTTTGTTAAACTAGTGAATGTACTCTCTGAAATATTCTACCAGAAGGTTAGAATATTTCTCAAATTTGTTGTAGGGTAGAATTAGTCTTCAGATTGGGGATGTTAGAGAAATTGTAAGGTTCTTTTTTATTCCTAACAAACCCTGTAAGGACATAAGGGGTCATGGGCAGATTTTATGTTTGTTTTCTTTTTATCTTATTTAGCTGGAAAGCCACATCTTGGAACAGAAAAACAACTTATTCTTGTGGCCAATGCTCACATGCATTGGGACCCTGAATATTCTGATGTGAAGCTGGTTCAAACTATGATGTTTCTCTCAGAAGTGAAGAACATTATTGATAAAGCCTCACGAAATCTCCAGTCCAGTGTATTGGGAGAATTTGGAACTATTCCACTGGTATTATGTGCAGATCTTAATTCTTTACCAGATTCTGGTAAGAAGAGGATGCTGTTATTATATAAGATGCTTTTAAACTTGGCTTGCTTTTTTTTTTTTTTTTTGTATTGTTGCTGATAATTACAAATGTGACCAAAACAAAAATTTAGTTTGTAATGGTAGTTATGAATCAGGTCTAAAAATGTATTGTGTGTAGTAGGAGAGTCGTTTTTGAAAATGAAATTAACTTGTGAAAACCTAAGGAGGAAGGGCATTAACCATTTAATAAATCTTCAATAAACACACAGTTGATGACTTAAAATAATTCATTAAATAACATATTGCATTGTCCTAAGGGCACATGTAATTCAGACTTCCAATAGGCTTTTATAATGCTTCCTTGGGAGTCTAGCATTCAGTGATAGAATCTAGTTTAAATTTGCCCTTTTGCAGTATCTCAAATTTTGGGGGTTTTGATTAGAAATACATACTTTGGTAGAAATGAGATCCTTTATTTACACAGATTGTGCATGTGATTTTAACAACAAAAGAACCGGCTCATGATTTTTATCCCAGAATTAAAGAATACAAAGTCTTACTCTTGGATGTGTTTCCATAGATCGTAATATAAAGCTTAATACTTTCATTTTATTTCAACGCTTTATACTTTCACTCATGCAAGAATGCTTTTCCTTAGATTTGCCTGCATGTACACATATTTAAAGCAGCTAATTAGTAGTACATCATTGTCATCCTGATAAATAGCCATTAAGAAAATAGAAAATAGTGTTAAAACTCATTTTCAGGGAAAATGAAAATATAAATTCTTCGTTTGTTTCTTGAAGCTGTGGGGATTACTGCTACTAAAGCAATTGACAGTTACTTTTTGGCAATTTCTCTACACATTTTCCACCCTCTTTAATTTACAATGTATCTGATGGACAATGAGGGATTCTAGTTAAATAATACACATCTTAAGACCTATTTTAGTATTAAAAAAAAAGTAATAAACCCAAGGTAAAAAATCCATATGTACTAATTAAATGAAAATGAGAAATAAATATTTGTAGTGCCATCTGGCCCTTAGGAAATTAAGGAGAATAGTATCTTGGGATGGTGAAGTTGCTCTATATAACTTCACCTAATTCTGTAATTAACTGTTGGTGTTCTTTTTCACAGTTGGCTGTATAATAACGATAAATCCTTGGTGGATTACATCATTTAACTAAACAAACCTACATAACTAAGATCTCAATTAAAAGATCTAAAAAATAGAAATAACTTAAAAATTTTTAAAAGGATCTAGTTTAGCAGATATTATATACCAACACACTTATATTATGTAGTCAAAATAAAAAGATAATTGAAGACAGTATGTAAGGTCATGTGATAAGTAAAGAAAGGTCTAAAGTATTACACTATTAAAGGTATGTGAAATGAACTTAGGCAGGTCTGGCAAGTATGGGGGGGAAACTGGGAGATTTTAGAAAGTGGGTATATGTATTGTTTAAAACTATTGACTATTGCATTATCATTTTTATTTATGTTTTATGTATTTGTATGATGATCGTTGACATTAAGTTTATATTCACCGTAGGTGTTGTAGAATATTTGAGCACTGGTGGAGTAGAAACAAATCATAAAGACTTTAAGGAACTGAGATATAATGAAAGTCTTACAAATTTCAGCTGTAATGGGAAAAATGGGACAACCAATGGAAGGATCACTCATGGTTTCAAGTTAAAGAGTGCCTATGAGAATGGCCTCATGCCTTACACAAATTACACGTTTGATTTCAAGGTAAGTGTTGACCATGAGAATCTTTTCTTTTTATTTTTTAAATTATTTTTTAATTGAGATTAATAATAGGTACCCCTATCAGGTATTGTCTCTATAGTGCACCCAAGATTGATAAACCTTTTTAAGGCCTCCATTTTTTTCAGAGGGTCTTATAACTTTGTTTTATCCTTAAAATGTGGGTATATGTTCAGACTGGAATAAAGCTATTTTGAATTACTTGACAGTATCATTCTTTTATTACTCTTCTGTAGAATTCCATGTGGTTAGTGTCCCACCTCTGTTTTATAGATACCTGTTTTATAGATACCCTGTTATTTCCAGGATAAGAAATCAGATAAAATAATGTTGATAAATCTTGAGTTAACTGTCATGATTTGAGGGCAGTTCTGTTTCGTATGTGTTCTTTGCAAACAACTGGATATGCAGTATGTTGACATATAATTTGGTGTCAGTTGGGGTGAGGTGTCCTATCTCATATTTTAGTGTAATTGAAACTATACTCCTTAGGTGCCAAAATGTGGATTTATATAAGCCATTTTAAGCTTTCTTTCCCTTACACAGTTAACAGTTTATGCTGTACAGTCTTACCCTAGTGATTCTCCTCTTTTTTAGTATGAGTGATTATTTAGAGCTTATGTCAGCCATCCTTTTCAGTTACTTTTTGCATTTCTATGTTATCAAGTTCTAGTTTTCTAGCTGGAAAATTATTCAGGTTTGATTGTTAGAGTATAAATATTAATGTTAGTTGGACCTTGTTTTTGGAAGGAGCATTGTTAGACTTATTTGAAAGCTTTAAAAACATATTACTTGACTTTGGAACATCCAAAGCAGTATATCCATAATGATACAACCATGGGAACAGAAGGGTGTTTGAAGTTCTTCTACTTGAATGAAGTGGATTGGGTAAAATGATCATGTAAGTAATGGAAGTTAAGCAGAAAGGGAACAAAACAGAGCAGCATAGATGCTTAACTGATGAGAAAAGAAGGTCATTTCAAGAAGTCAGAAGTGAGTAGTAGGCTTCAGAAAGATATTTAATAAGATTTGTTTCACTAGTGAGCTAGATAGAGAGACTAGACTGTGCCCAGTTGATAAGCACCAAAATGTTAGGTTCTTGTTTCCAACAGATTGAAGAGGAGATGAGGTTGATAGCTAAAAGTTGGGCGATATTAGGTGGTCCCCCTCCCCTTGTTCCTGTTGCTGATAGAGAGAGAGAAGGAAGACACTTGAGTAGGTTTAAGTCTTTTGGCCAAGAATATATCGATGAGAAGCTGGTTATAGGGAAGAGGGGTATAAACCAAGAGATACTTATATGTTGGTGCCAGATCTGTGCCTTGACACTGCTGAAGACATGCCTGTGTCCCTGTGGCGGTAACAGTCCCATGCTCTTGACCACACAGATGAGTGTGTGTAGCATGTAGCCCCTGGGGTGTGCAGCACCAATGGAAGAGAATTGGAGGTGGTAGGAGGAAATAAGTGGGTGAGGGTAGGATTAAGGTCTTTGCAAGATGGTTGCATTTGATACTTGAAGCTTGAGACAGAATTAACCAGATCACACATAACACATGGAAGAAAGGAAGAGGGGACAGAGAACATAGGCAGAGGCCTCTAGAGCTTGTCACCTACAAAGAGTGTAATGTCATATTCCCTTCCCCAGGCTCAGGTGGCAATGGGGTAGTGAGCAAGGAAAATGGCACAAATCAAGTTAGTAAAGAGAAGCAGAGACCATGTCATGAGAGCATGAAAAGATCCAGGTAGGAAGAACAGTTATCCCTAAAATGCCTGTATTCTGCTAGATTTGACATTTGTGAGACCATTTGGTTTATATATATTACTGCCTCTTTCTATACACGAATAAGTTTCTTTATTTACCAACCATGAACTATAAGGTTATGTCTTGAAAGCTCTCAGTATTTAGTGTTGTCTTATGTAGGGGCCTTGTCTTTTATTTTCCCCTTCTGTTTTTCAGGGTATAATTGACTACATCTTCTATTCTAAACCTCAGCTGAACACTTTAGGCATCCTGGGACCTCTGGATCACCATTGGCTAATTGAGAATAACATCAGCGGCTGCCCACATCCACTCATCCCCTCTGACCACTTCTCACTTTTTGCACAACTGGAGCTCTTACTGCCTTTCCTGCCTCAAGTTAATGGCATTCACCTTCCTGGTAGGAGGTAGTCAAGTACCTTCAGAGGATGACCTCAATTTCACTTGTAAACACATAAAACTCTGAATATAGGGGAGTGAGGTATGGCCACTCGGGATTTAGGGATATTTTTTTTTCCTTACTGATGATTTGAATCTTCAACCAGATTATTTTATAAGGATATAAGTATGAAAGTCAGGTGCTAGCAACAGACAAATTCTGAGCCCAATATGCTTTATATACTGTTAGACAGGGATTGGTGTGTTTGCACCTATCTTTAAATTGTTACAAGTAATTTTCCTGTTTCTTCTAATATATTTTCATGCCTTGAAATAGGAAAGTGTTTGAACAGCATATTCTCTTTGCACAGAAATCTGTAGCACTACTTTTTGAGGCCAGTAATAACATCCAGTGACCATTCTTCCATACCCTACTCCCTCCTTTTTCAGACTTGTTTGTAAAATATAGAATTTGAATTTAGCCTTTATGATTGTATATGATCCACAGAAGACCTGATTTATGAAATTTTGTACTAAAAAATCAGATTTGGAAATGATTGTATTGTAAAACTAAGGCTAAGTTTTTTTGTTTTTGTTTTTTTTTTGTTTGTTTGTTTTGTTTTGTTTTTAAACTGTTTCATGCATTATAAAGGCCAGCTTGTAAAAGAAGTTGCAACAGACTTTCTCTGCTGTGATTTGCACTGTTGGGGTTTTGTTAGCCCTTTTATACTACTTTATTTTAAAATTGAGAACATTACTCTTTAAATCTAAAACTCTTTAAAGCTTAGGACATTTTCTCAGACCAGAGGCAAACTTATCTATGAATTTTGGGTTTTTCCATAAACTGTATCTCCCGGGACAGATAAACTGAGCAGAGAATCATTTGTAGGCATTTATGAATTGAATGTAATGGTTGATATATGTACATTCTGATATTTTTAAAGTTTTAACTTTTTTAAGTTAAAAAATTCCAGCTGCTTAGGTACAGTTTCTTAACTCCATTTTAGATGCTTCCTGTCCTATGTCCACTGTGCCTGCCTAAATCTGTCCTCACCAAGCACTGCCTGTGCATGCAGAGAAAATCTGTGCATCCTCTTTTATATTTTTTAAATAGTTTAACATTTGTGAGAATTTTAAGAAAATGCTTTTGTATGAGCTGTGGCTTTTTTCATTGTGAAGCTTTGAATATCACATTTTGGAACATGTTCATAGGGTGGGTCCTGGGTCTTTGCTCACCAGACCTAAAGCACTGCTTATTGGTGTCATTCATTCCACAGTGCTGTTGTCACCCAGAATACTACTATCATGTGAATTCTTTTCGTTTTCCATGTATTCTTTAATCTCCATGTTTTTAAAAAATCATTCCTTTTTTTAAACAAAGTATTTTCCATTTATGAAGCAGTATAAATAAGATGTATTTTCAAAACAGGTCCCTAAGACAATTCTTCAGATCATTTTTAAAGTGACTAAGTCATTTTAATATGTCAACCAAGATAAAAGTTATATTGTACCCTGTATTTTGCCCATAGTGCCATTAGTAGATTAGAGATTAAAGCCAGTGTTCACCTTACAAAGTTTAACTCATATGTATTCTGTTCTTAATCCTTTTAGTCTCTCAAAAATCAAATGAATTCAGAGGGAGCTTGGTCTTAACTGCTTTTGTTTCAACTGCAGGCAGGGGAGCAAAAGGACACCATGTGAGCATTAAGAAAAACAAATTGTTGAATGTTTTTAACAATTTTTATACAGAGAGAATTAGTCATTTTGGATAATGACTTAAAATTTTATGATAAAATGTCTAGCACTTAGTTGTGCTTATTCTGTTTTTAAGAGAAAATATAATTACATGTTTAAATAAGCAACTTTTTTCCTTTTAAAAATATTCTCCAAAAAGTTGTGATCTTGAGTCTTTGTCTGGGACCTGGTTTTTCCTTTGAGGTTTTTTAAGATATTGTTGTGATGGTGGATTTTTTTTGTTGTTGTTTGTTTTTGTTTTTGTTTTTTTGCTTTTGTTTAAGTTGTGCTGACACCAAACACATCCAGTTTATAATCAGTACATTGGAAAGCTGGTATTATTGATATAGAACCAATGCATAACTTTTTATTTTTTTTGTAAAGTGTGAATAAAAGGTGTGTTTACTCATTTTTCCTAAACACTGTGTTGGTAATGTGCATCATGACAATTTCCAGCGAGGGCGGGCTGGAGCTAGTTGGACTGATGAGATGAACCGCTTTTCCTATGATCTGCATTATGTAATAACAGGTCCAGAGAGCTTTATGGAAGGGGAGGGGGAAGCACTTACTCGTTTTGTATTTGTTAATGGAGGATGTATTCTTTTCATAGATGCTGGAACTAGAGTGCACTTGTTAGATGCTAAAGGTTTGAGCTTTACACAAAATGTTTTCATCCATATTTGTTATTGTCTACAATATATTTGAATTTGGGAACAGCATAGCAAGGTAAAAGAGCCTGTTAATGTCTTGAAAATATTTGTTCTTGCTTCTTCTGGACATTCTTCATTCTGTGGGTCAGTTTGATCAGCTTCTCTACCTTACTTAAATAGTGATAAATTGAACCAAGAGTGTAGATTTATAACTGTAACCTTCAAAAGAGAAGAAAATATTTTGGGTCTATAGAGAATAAACAGTCACACCAAAATAGACTTGATACTTTGTTCAGCAAGATTTTGTGTTTTAAATGTTTCTGTGTCCTGAACAATTTCCAATAATCCACAGTTCCTAAAATGCAATAATAAAAACTAGTATGTTTTTTCAAAAGTTCTGTAACAAATACATTTAATGTGGTGTTGCCATTATGTAATTTCAGTGTTCTTGCTGGATAAATCCATCTTATTAATGTTTTACAGAGATTTGAGGTATGTTTTCTGGTTTAATGATCAGAAATTTGGAGGCACTCAATTCCTTGTTGTGAATCTCTTGAAGTACAGTTTACCGTGTTAGTGATGACTATTTATGCTTTGAGAATTTAAATAATGTTCATCAAAATTAATTTATGGCATAATTTAAAGTTATAGAAATAAATTGTTGATTACGACTTTAATAGTCCTAGAAGATATGCAAGGAACATCTAGAAATGTGTGTATTTTTATTGGATTTGGTGATAGCCAGGAAGACATATTTTATGTTAGCACTTTGGAACTAAGGACATTATTGAATTGGGTAGAATGCACTTCTTAATGTTGATATTAAAATTTCAAAGCTCTTCTAAGATTCAGATCTTCAATAATAAAATTGAATTTTAGTATTTTGTTTTTACTATTTAAACTCTTGGAATTAGTTTCCATAATGACTTTTAAGGTTTGGGGGTCATTGCCACAAAAGGAGAAAAGTCATCCTAGGCAAGCCAATTAATGAACTAATCAGAATATCCACTACAAATGCTGCAGGTAATTGAAAGAACACTTTTAGCAAGTGTTTCAACCCCATTCATAAGCAGTATTTTAAGATGTTCACTTTGCCTTTTTTGGTTATATAGATTTTAATAATGGTATGTTGAAATGGTGTCTGAAATAGAGTATCTAGTCTTTACTACTCACAATACACTATATGCACTGGACTAGCTTTGTTTACCATTCATGTAACAAAATCCAGCACATCTGCACTAAGCTCAAAGAATGTCACATTTGCCTAGGCAGCTCTTTGATAAAGGTAATGGGAAACTGAATATATACCTATGGACTGACTGGTGGTAACAAGGGCTTTTACTGTTCTTTTCAGTGGAATCTTCTTGGTCAAATTGTAACTAGCTAGTATTATATTTATATACAGGGTCTCTTTCTTTACTGATGTATTTTCCTACTCATAGCCAACCAATAAATACAATATCTGTTTCAAATATCTTAAAAGTGTAATTTGTATAGCCGAAGTGCTGAGGTTTGAGAAAAATGTTAATCAGCAAGACCACATATTTAAAATTCCGACTCATCTGGGACAGGGTTATAACTCACCCTTTGAAAGGGAAGAGTGCCTGGGGGGCAGGGCCATGATTTGGGGAGATGGGACAAATTTAAGGATTTCTTTATTGATTGTGGTATTCTGTGTAACACTTGTAACACTCAAATCTTTGCCAAAGTTCAAAGATTTTATATTTAGGCAACTGATGGTCCTTTTTGCATTTAGAATTTTTGTTGCTGTTACCATATATCTCATTAGTATAAAACTTAGACCCATGTGTCTTCTGTCTTTTGAAAAGGAAGTTGACATATTTTCAATAAATGTATTCAAATTCAGCAGCAAACATTGTATTGATGGGATTATACTGATTCATTTGAGGTTTTGTTACATGTATATTTTATTTTATTATTTTATTTTATTTTATTTTATTTACATACACACACACACACACACACATATACATATGTGACCTTTGAAAATGTGTTATTCCCCAGAACACTCAGTCCCATTTGCTTTCTAGGAACTAATTCTATAACATGTCAGTTTCTATGTAGATTTTCCAGGAGAAAAGTTAAAATTAGAAGGCAGTTTTAAGAATACTTGTTTGAGATTACCCCGTTTTTAAAGCAGACATTTTCTACCTAATCTTTGATTATGTAATTTTACCTTTATATACAGAATTCTTGTTGCTCTGTTTAATTGTCATAAAAATAAATGTGAAAAAGTTAATGAATTATGCCCATATTATTTTTCTTTAGAGAAACAAAAACCTTAAGGAAACCTTAGATGATTGTGTTATATAGAGAATTCCCTTTCTGAATGAAGAATTACTTAGATATTCAAATTTAAATTGATTTTTAAATAAATGTTCACAACTACTGTAAAGACCATTTTAACACAGAGATCATATACTAGAAAAATTTACAGACGATAGTTTAACTAGAATTTTATGAGAATTTGAGAAATAAATTTTATAAGTAAATTTCCTCCAAATAATAAAGTAAAATATTCAGAGTAGTTTGCTGCTCCTGAAATGAGTCTCACTAGTTTCTAAGAATTGGAAACAACTGGGGTTGAAACACAGTTTCTAAGGTTTTCTTTAGTAACATTACCGTCAGCCAAATAAATAGGGAGATGTCCATTTTCTCATTTTCAGTGACTGGCAAACTTCAGATTACCCCAGTCTCAAAAACTGTTGTTAGGTCTTGTCATTAAAAACCACTCCACCTGTGTGGCCAGACGTGGGCTCCAACTCTAGCTGCAGAGTATTTTCTACCTCCTAGCTAGCACAGTGAATGACCTGAGGTATCCTAGGTTGTCCACAATACTACTGCTTTATTGGTGACTTCAGTATCTCCCCTTTGTGGCAATTCTACTATTTGTTTCCCAACTTCATGTAGTTCTGCTTCATCAAAGATAATGAAAAGGAATCATGGTGTGACTGAAACCAGGTAGAAGGAATTTGCAAATGTAGGATGTGCTTTTCTTTTAATATTCAACTCTTACAGATGGCAGATTTTTAGGGCAGTGATTTAGGTGTGAGGGTTGGAATTCCTGGCACTGTCTTCTGAGCTTTATTTGGGGGTCTTCCAGGATCCCCCATGTATCATACTTGCTGTTGGTGACTTGGGACAGGTATGAGGGGTAAGAGAACTACAACTAATTTGTTCATTTTGGTGAATCGTTTGTTCTTAATCTATTTATCTTGGTCACCATAATCACTCATTTAACATTTCATGCCAGACCTTGTGCTTAGAGTTGAAATAGAGGTTTTTCAGACTTGGTCTCTGACTTTTAAGTTTCTCATTGATTATTATAATCTAAACAATACTTGAGAAAGACCAGATGTGAAGGGAGCAAGTATGTCTATGTGGGTCCATCAATTCTTCCAGAGGTGAACTTAAAAGGCAGTTTTAGGAGCTATATTTCTTTTATAAAAACTTTTGTAGTATGTGTAGGTATGAATGAAATGGGTTTCATATGATGTGGATCTTTCAGAGGAAGTGTGCTAGGGAAGTCTGAACCTGACTGATGCCTTTGAATCCTAAGTTGTGCTAAAGTTTCAATTTTATCCTGTAGGTTATGGTTAAAACAGAGTTTTCAATGGGAGAAGCATTACCAAAATCATTTTAGAAAGGTGATCTTAGCAGCTCTGTGAAGGGTAGATTAAAAGAATAAGACTAAGTTAACTGGCTATGACTTGGTCCAGTCGAGAGATGGTATGCTGAGGATGACTTTAAAGATGGTAAGGGTAAAAAGGAAGGGAAATACAAAAGGTGTGAGAAGTAGACTCAGAATCTCAATTCCTTCCTCACTTGTGAATGAAAAGACAGGTAAGACTTATATTTAATTACTCAACGTTAGGCAAACCCTGACTGCGCATCTCTTACATTCTTACCACCAAGTGACTCGTATTTCCTTAACTGACACATTTAGTCAAGAGTTTTGCTTTCCAAGCTACATTTTACTTCATTTCCCATTAAGATTTTAGTCTGTAAAATAGATCCATCGTGTCTCTACTGAAGAATCAAGTGACTTCAGAAAACAGTAAAAGATAGCATGCAATGTTAATTCAATTCTTAATAGCCTGTTTTCTTTAGGCGTTTTACATTACTGAAAATGCTTTATGTGAAAAAAGACTGTCAGAGGTTACTTGGTAAGTCCTGGCATTAGAGGAAGCTTTAATAGGTAACTGTAATAAATGGCAGGGATCTAAAAATTAAGCCAGTTGAGTCTCCCCTCATGCAAGGATAGACCTCACTTGTACATGGCTAACATATTCTGGAATAGAGAACTTTTTCTGTTCAAAGAAACTTACTTTGTTAGGACCATATTTGTTGCATTGTATAAAATATGAAGACAGTGTATTGTTTATATTAAACATAAACAGAAGTGATGTCAAAGAACTGACTCCATTTTAAAAATGTTTCACTAGCTCACCAAGGTGACTTATTGTAGCTGAATGTATTTTGCAAACAGAATGATCTACTCTAGCTAAATCATAATTAGTAATTGACATGTTTGTCCACTGAATCATTTTTCTATTAAAAAAAGACGTATGGTCAAATTGCTAAATTTAACATCAGTTCTATAGAGAACTGAGCTAGTACAACAACTAGAAAGGACTAAAGGTATATCATGAATTTTATGGTGAATGACGGTGCAGTTTGCTATATCAGAGCAAGAGGAAAAGCTTTCATGTATTAAAAAAGTTACAGATAATAAAGTGAACACTATTAAAAGATGCATTATTTAAGATGTATTTTCTTCGCATATATAATTTAATGTTTTTCTGTCAACAGTCAAAAAGATGAAATTAATCACCTGAAAATTAGAATGTGCAACAACTTTTTAAAAAAATTATAAAAATTATGGATTTGTATATTTGGCCAGCTAGTAAAGGGCTTGTGTTCTTAACACACAAAAAATTTAAGGTTTATTTTATTTATGCATAGAAGAACTGAGATGCAGGCCAGAGATAAGGGGTAGTGGAGTGGGGAGAAGATTCACCAGAGACAGTGGGGAGCAAAACAGGGATATCTGTGGAATACACTGCCGAGGGGAGCAGTGGGTGATACAGGAGAGACCTGCTGCACCATGTGGGTTAACTTCCTCGCAGGGGATCAAACTCAGATTTAGTTTGATAGCACTAAAACCCCTGTGCTACCAGGGATGTCCCTAATGGATATGTTTTTCACAATAATTCTATGACGGACATTTTGTTGAAAAAGAAAGTAAAAGTCATAAAAATTGTCTTACCATATACACAACACCTTTCAAATACAACTAAAGATTGGGTGATTGAGAATTTGAAAAACAAAAGTATTTCTTAGCTCTAGATAAGTTGTGTAAAG